AGTGTAGCTTCAGTCTAAACCATAAGACCAAAGTAATCAAGAAGTAGTGGACATAGCTGGGCATGGTGGCACACGCCAGCACTCGGGGAGGCAGAGGCAGGCTGATCTCTGTGAGTTCGAGGCCAGCCTGGTCTACAAATCGAGTCCAAGAAAACCAAGGCTACACAGAGAAACTCTGTCTCAAAACAAAAGCAAAAAAGTGCCATACAAAGAACAAATCACTGACGGTCAACTGGGACAAAGCAAGTCCGCACGTGCTCTGTGGTGGTAGCATCAGGCCCTATGTAACAAATGGCTTATCAATTACCTGGTTAAAACTGATTACAGTTTAGAATAAATTTGCTCATAAGAATGTGAATAGGCCCACAGCTCAAGGGCTAGAGATAGAGAAGTCTAGATGGTGGAATATATAATATACTCATGAACTTTATATTATATATATTACATATATTATATATAATATAATCATGAATTTATAGGGAAGGACTTTGTTACGCACACAAAATATTAGTTACTATCAATTCCCTTACATAGTAATCACAATGATCGATTCAGGGCATTTACCTTCAAAGGATAAGAGCAGGAGTAGAACTTATCTCTGCTAATTAAAAAGGAAACATTTAAATACATCTTCACGAATGTCTTACCAGTTCTTGAAAGAGGACGAACCGTCGGAATGGGAACAACTAGAGCAGGCTGGGAGATGGGCGAGCCAGGGTACCATCCCCGGTGCCGCTTCTTCGGTGGGCCGGAAATGAACATGTTAGCTGAGAAGAAAAAGAAAAAAAAACATCTTTTTTAGCAATGGGGAAGAAAGGAAGATTATCAAGGGATTGTCGGGCCTTTCTTTTGACCTCCTGGGAGGAGGGAGCTAGGTCACTCTCCCATGGGCAACGAGCTAGACAAAGTCATACCAACAAACCAGTACCACATCGTAACCGCATGCTGCCTTGCAGTTTACAATTTTGAATGGATTATTTAATTTCATTCCATTACTTAATCGATCCCTCTTAAGTTGTGGGGAAAATCTACTTGGTAAGTGGAGAAAAAGTATCTAGTGTTATGCAGATCTTTTAGAACCGAATTCTGTACTTTGGCAAGTAAAAGACAGATGTGAGTTTTCAGAATATTTCACTGTAATTGTGATTAAACACTGACTTCCCAGTTAGGTTCTTTCGTGAAGAATTACTAACTTATTTGACAGTTACTGTTCACATCAATCATGAAATGTCAAAGTGCTGCATTTTAAGCAAAGGGAAGACTCTACAGTGTGTGTTGAGATAATCAATTGTCCAAAATCTGGGCTAAAGAGATGGTTCAGTTGGCAGAGTGCCACATAAGCATGGATCCACGTAAGGAAAGCCAGGCACAGAGGCACATGCCTTTAAAATCAATACTGTGCAGACAAGAGGACCCCTGGGGTGCACTGACCAACCAGTCTAGCTGAGTCTGTGGACTCTGGGCTCAGCGAGAGACCCTGCCTCAAAGGATAATGTGGAGATCTATAGAGGAAAACAACTAATGCAGACTGCTGGCCTCCACACACAAGCACAGACGCCTCCCCCCCACCCCCATACACACTTGTACCTTGGTCTATGGATGTGTAGCTAGGTCTTGGTGACAAAGAGTAGCTCCCGGGGCGGGATGGAGTGGAACCGGATGTGCCGCTCTTCCCTCCATGGCTACTGGTCCCATTTGCTGCTTCTGTGAACAGAGAAACAGCGGATCAGAACAGGTGTTTGGAGGACACTGTTTGAGAAGCAGCAGACATCTGGTAAACCTCACATTTGAGGGTCTAAGGAAATTTCATAGGTAGGACTCCTCCCCATTGCATCAAACCAACTACAAATATCAGACCAATTGCCTTCATTAAACTTCATTAAACATGTCAGGCATGTCAATGACTATAGTAAATTTAAAGATCAGATGTACCTAGGAATAATTTTCTGGGACCTTGAGAAATCTTTTAGAATTCTTGTTGAAGAAGTCTTTGGAGATAGTAGGTTAAAAAAAAAAAAGCTTAATTAATTTTAACTTGACCTCATGGAAAATTTCAAACATACAAAAGGAGAGAGAAGAGTATAAAGCATGTTTATACACGCACTGCGCAGGTCCAGCATTTATCTCATGCAGCCCATCTTGTTTCATTATACTCTGAACCTGATTCCTCTGCTCAGTCTCATAGGTGCTCCGGCTAGTCAAAGGTGACCTAGCCATCATATAATGTCATTGATAAGCACTTCCACAGTTTTGCTTAAAAAAAAAAAAAACGCTTTTAAAATACATCAGTAATAAAATTATTATGCTTAAAAACCAACAGTGATTAATAATTGAATGTCATCAGATCAGAAATAGTTTAAAGAAATGGCTTGTTCAAACTGGGATTAAAAAAAAAAAAGAACTGTATGTTTGAGTTAGGTGGCATATTCCTAAAGCTTTTGTTGAAAATAAGATTTACTTTTTTATTTTTAAGTGGGGTGTGTGTGTGTGTGTGTGTGTGTGTGTGTGTGTGTGTGTGTGTATTAGTGTCCCTGCATGTGAGTGCATGCATTCAAAGAGAGGTCTGGTACTGGGACTGAAGTTTCAGGCAGTTCTGAGCCTCCTGCTGTGGGTGCTGGGAACTGAACTCAGGTCCTCTGCAAAGGGTAGTACCTATTCTTAACCAGTGGCTGTCTCTCCAGCCACTTTAGGTTTCTTTTAATCTATAGCAATTCCCTTCCCACTCCCCCCAAAATATTTCTTGTCATTAATTTTTTTCTTTCGAAAATTCTGGAAGAATTTCCCATTTTGTGGATTTTGCCGATTCAACATCCCTAGTATCCCTGTGTCCACTCTATTTCTAATAAACTAATTGTTGGAGGCCCAGGAAAATTCATATTCATTTTTTTTCGAAAGAATCTCAAAGACAGCTGTAAGCTTTCACCAGGAGGCAAAGAGTGGACAGTTCTCTCTCTTCTGGGGATATTAAGAATGACTCGTGGGATTCAGAAATTGTCAGCCTAATTCTTTTGTCTTCTTAAAATGTCATTTTTAGAGTCCAGGTGTGGTGGCATGTGCCTTTAATCCCAGCATTTGGGAGGCAGAGGCAAGTGGTTCTCTGAGTTTGAAGTCAGCCTGGTTTACAAAGTGAGTTCCAGGACAGCCAGGGTTGTTAACATAAAGAAACCCTGCCTTGAAAACAAACAAACAAACAAACAAACAAACAAATAAACCTTCCTTTTTAATTATGTATATGTATGTGTGTCTCTGTTTGGGTTTGTATTCAAGCACGTGGTAACCAAAGAGGCTAGAAGCTGTCATCAGATCCCCTGGACTGGAGTTACAGGCTGTAAGCTGCTTGAAGCAGGCGCTGGGAACCAAGCCTCCACCCTTTGACAGAAGCAGCATGCATTCTTAATCGCTCTGCCTAATTCTTGCATTATGAAGTCAACTGGATGATTTTAGTGACTAAGATGATTGCTGAGCTATTACTTCATTAATTTTTTTCTCTCTATCATGAAAACTTGACTTTAGTTTGTTCATATTTAAAATCTAACTAGGAAATAAAAAACTGTAAGAGTTGCTGGGCTGGAGCAAAAAGCAAGGTGAGTTTTGTAAATTGTGATGGCTAACTTTCAGAATATATCCCCAAATGACAGCTTCTTTGCCTTGCCATCTCTTCTCCGTAAGCACTAGACTGTTCTAAGATTCCCTCCTTCGTTCCCAGCTTGCCTCATCCTCTATCTTTCATGACTGATATTAGTCGTGATGGATTTTACCCACATATTGGTACCTCTCCTCTATGCCATCCATCAGTGAGTAAGTGGTTAACAGCATCTCCTCTTTCTATAGCCCCTGTCTCAGGTGATGGCATCAGAAAGATGGTGTCAGCTGAGACATCGCTTCCTTCAGGCCCACCTTGGTCTGCAGGTCCATCTGATTTTATTTCCCGAGTGCTCTCCATTTTGCCTTCTGTTCTCCAATCTGGCTAAGGACCTGAGCACCTCTCTCTTAAACTAATGAAATGGCCTCAAGGCAGTATTTCTACCTCTTATCTCTTACATATTACTGCCAAAAATGATCTGGTTCAAATTCCAGCACCGCTCATTTCTCTGTGCCATAAGTTCAGTGTAAAGTCCATACTCTTCAGCCTGCCTTCCTATGGCTCTTTGTTAATTCTCCTCTCAGCCTCCCAGGTGCCGGGATTAGGGCTGTGCATTACCATACTAGGCCCTCCGGTTCTTCTTGTCAGGTATTTGTGCTGTTCCTGGAATATGAACTGTCCTTCCCCCATTGCATTGGACAGCATCTTCCTCCTCATTTAAAGACCAATCTCCTCTGTGTGTCCACCCTCAGTTCTCCCTGAAATGCTAGCTAGAACACACTGAAAAGATCTTCTTGTAAGTCTATCACCTTCACTGGATTATGAGACATTTGTGGTCAGGCATTATCGGTTTTCATAACCTCAGTTGCTAGTCACCGCAGGTGCGTAAGAAATGTCTGTCGAGTAGAATCAAGCTCTCGTTTTATCTCCTTGGTGCACCGAATGCCATTTTGACTCTTCTGGTCGGAACACAGAGAGAGAGCAAAGCTCTGTGCAACACTGCATTATTTTAGGCAGTTCCATGGCCATCTTCCACTGGCAGGTAGAAGGGACGTCCGTTTTCAAATATTTGTCAATTACATTTCACATAAGTCTTTTGATATTTACCAAAAAAAAGAAAGAGAAACAGCAAGGAAGGAAAACATCACCTGCAGCAAAAGTCTTCCCCACAGCCTGCAAAGATAAAGGCAGTGGTTCCACAACATTCCTGTTCCGGGTCAGGGCCTGAGCTCCGCTCAGATTGATGGCAGAATTAGCTGGACTGAGAGCCGGCGAATCTTTAAAACGAGAGAGGTTGTTTAAATTAGCAAGCTTCTATATATGCAGGAAAAAAGTTAAGTTGGCATGGGTGAGCTGAGAAACGGCAGAAGAGAGGGTTTGTTCTTCCCTGGAACCATTTAGATGTTTTAGGAGGGTCCGTTTCTATGCATTCAGGTTTGATTATTTTTTTATTTAAAAATATGTACTAGGAATTAGTGTATGTTTTGATGCTATTGTAAACACTGCAAACATATTAGTACACTTGATCCTTGTAATACTTTAGCACTTTAGGTCAAACTCGGATGGCTCATCACCGGGAAATCTACACTTCATATCCAAACTATGTGCATAGTTCCTTCAAAAACTTTTAATGAGATATACCTATCTCTGTACAGAGGAGTTTCTTGTGTGTGTATGTGCACGTGCCTATATGTATTCATATGTGTGTGAACACCTATGTTCAGAAGTATGCACGCGTGTGTGTGTGTGCGCGCATGTGTGTGAGTGTGTGCGTGTGTGTGTGTGTGCGTGTGTGTGTAGGACAGAGGTCATGTCAAGCATCTTCTTCAGTCACTCTCTGAGTGGATTTAAGGCCTGTCCCACAGGAATGGCTAGGGAGCTCATAAGGCCATATTTTGGAAAATGGCCACAGAATCAGACTGAGATCTATGTTTGCGTCTCTCTGCCCACAGATCAGTGAGGCTCCTAGTCCTCACCAGAGACCCTCCTTTGTGTGGTGGACAGGGTTAACCCAGACACTCCCAACTGGCCAAAGGGCAGGGAATAAGTGGTTGTAGAGTAGTCGGCCACGAATGGGACAGCCGTTCCCATGCCCCTCCCCCAGGTGCAGGGAGTATCATGGGAGGGAGGCTGGGGAGAGCTGGGGTGAAGCAGTGTCTTGTAGATACAATAGGACTCACAAACCCACAGCAGCTACAGCCACGTGGATCTGCAAAGGATCGGGGCAGTCATGGCTCCAGCATGATGGGGAGGGGCTCGTGAGCTCCCACCTCCACTGAGGAACTGTGGACAACTGATGGCTGCTAGGCAGAGTCAGTGGCTTTCCAGCTGTGGCCCCAGCTAGGTCTGCCCACTCCAGGGAACAGCTCCGAACCTGAACCGTGGGCAAATAGGACTCAGCAGGTGTTAAGGAGAAAAAAGGGATATGAGGGTGGGAGGAGCCAGGGGGTGAGGAGCACACTCAAGGGGAGGGGAGGAGCGGGAGATGCCAGGGATCAAAACGCACTGTGTGCATATACTGAATTCTCAAAGACTTAGTGAAACTATGGTATTTTAAAAGGGTGTGGAAGCAGGAGAGACGGCTCGGTATATAAAGCCGATAACTAACAAACTCGAAGATCCCCAGTACTCACCCAAAGAGTTAAACTCACTGGCATGCACACGGTAAAATATACTGCACTGTTATAAAGCATGCAATCTCTAAATTCATTGATTATATTTAGTACGATCTTTCAGGTTTAAATTATGTTTATAAAAGTAACTACAAATAAACTGCTCTGAAGAAGTAAAAACTTATACTGTGAAGTGTTTAAAATAACTAAGTGAACGGGGAGATAGCAAGTGCACATGGGTCGGAAGACTTAGTGATGCTAGGACGGCACAGCTGAAGGTTTGCTGCACTCTGCAGCAGTATTCCAACAGGCTTCTTCCAGAAACTGGCAAGCCAGTCCTGACATCCACATAGGAACACAAGGGACTCAGGGCAACCGGTATAATCTATGCCAATAGCAAAGCTAGAGAGCTTACTTTTCCATGTCAGACCTCATACAAAGCTACCGGCACTATACACACAGATAAGGCAAATAGCATTTAGAGTTTATATAAACCCTTTCAGCTCATGCTCAGTTGAACGATGAAAGGAGTGTTAAGAAAATCCACTGGATAAGAAAACATTTTTCCTCAGCCATTACTTTGGGGATAACTTTATCGCCCTATACAATGGTCCTCAACTGTCATACCACATATAATAATTAAATTTAAATGAACTTAAACGTAATAGTTAGGATTTCTGTGAGTTTGAGGCCAGCCAGACTATACTGAGAGCTCCAGGCTAGCTGGGGTGGCCTAGTGGGATGCTTTCTCTAACACTGAGTAAGAGCTACACATAGTAGCTAGAGCTATAACCCTCCCAGAAAACAGAGCGATGCCCACGACCTTGGGCTGGGCAATCGTCTCTTAGAGATGAGCCAAGAACATTAGCGGCGAGAGAAATCAGAAGGCAAATGAGATGGATTTGATGGATTCACCAGAAGACAAAACATAAATGACCTGAATTTCATGAAAACAGAAACAAACTTTGTGCGTCAAAGGACACAATCGTGACAGCCAGTGAACTGGGCATGGTGGCGCAGGCTTCTAACCCAGCATGGGAGGCAGAGGCAGGCGGATCTCGGTGAGTTTGGGGCCAGCCTGGTCTACAGAGAGAGACTTCCTGGATGGCCAGGGCTACATGATTAAACCCTCTCTCAAACCAACCAAACCAAACCAAAACAAAAACCAACCAACCAAAAAAGGTTTATGCCCCAAATCTGTGAAGTTCTCAGAAATCTGTAATAAAACACAACTAGCTAAAGGTGGCCAAATGAATTTCTTAACACACACACACACCAATCGATAAGCATAGGAAAAACTGCTAAACATAACTAGAGACTAGAGGAATGCAAATCAGAGCTGCAATGAGATGCTGCTTCCTCAGAGAACAGTGGAATAAAACAGGAAGCAGCATTGGCAAGGATCCGGAGACACTGGAGCCCTCAGTCATCGCTTGTCCAAGAATAGAAAGGAGCAGGCTTGTTGGCAAATGGTTCCTCCAGTTCGCCCAGGCATGAAATGAGAGAGAGTGAAAACACACGTTTATGCAAAGGAACTGCCTACACATGTTCAGAGTGGAATTATCTTCATTCGGTTGGTTGCTGGCTGAGAATTGAGCATGCTGCCCATAAAGTCCTCCAGTGAGCCCCAGGTATCCCTATACGTCTCCCAATGTTAACATGGATACCCACTAACTGATAAGAGAGAAACAAATTTCAGCTTGTTTAGACAATGGGATAGCATCCATCAGTGAAAGTGAAGGTGACAGCGCATGCTACAAATGAGTCAAATGAGAGAAGCCAGTTGGCAAATGTCAATAGAGTCTGGAGTCCAGAGTCAGCAGAAACAGAGGCTGATTCGGAGCTGTTCCTGGGTGAGAAGGGGTCTAAGCTCTGAGTGTGCGGTTTCTTCTCAGGGTGAAGATACTCTGCTGTGCATGGTGGTGCACTGGGGCAGGAGGACCAGGAGTTCCAGGGAAGCCTGTGCTTTATGTGAGATCACGTACCAATAACTCACTACATCCATGATGTAGTGCCTGAATTATATAAGGGCTACAAGGGCTGGAGAGACGGCTCACAGGTTCAGAGCACTGGCTGCTCTTCCAGAGGTCCTGAGTTCAATTCCCAGCAACCACATGGTGACTCACAGCCATCTAGAGTGAGATCCGGTGCCCTCTTCTGGCACGCAGGCATACATGCACACAGAACATTGTATACATAATCAATAAATAAATCTTAAAGAAAAACAAGAGTTACAAGCTGGGTGTGGTGGAGCATGGCTGCAATCCCAGCACTCAGGGAGGCAGACGCAGAGGCAGGCAGATCTCTGTGAGCTTCAGGTCAGCCTGGTCTACAAAATGAGTCCAGGACAGCCAATGCTACATACAGAAACCCTGTCTTGAGAAACTGTAAATAAATACACAGCTAGCTAGATAAATAAATGTTACACCCCCATATCAATAATACCATGATTCAAAATGCTGCAAGCACTTCTACAATATAAATAAACCTTAAAAAGAAAAAAAATGCTGTAAGTAAAATCGTAAGGCAGAGGAGCCATGTGTGAGTGACAGCGCAGACACTAGAAAGAAAACAGCTACTGCTCTTGCCCGGCGTCTCGCTGTGCAGCAGGGGCTGCAGAGGACAGCGCGGCAAGCTCCCTGTCTTGGAGAAAGTCTCCTGCGTGTCCACTTCTGGCTTTTCCAGCATTTTGTCTCTGGGCCTTCTTCAAGGCCATCAGAACCCCTGAATGCTGTAAACCAGTCCAGAAATGCAGGGGAGTGTAATTTGTCTCGGGGCAGCCCTCAGTTAGTTAATGCCTCAGCGATAGAACCCACGAAGGCCTTCGGTTTGCTTCTTCATGAATCTGACAGACAAAGAGCTTCTCGGGTTTTAAGAATCACAGAGAAAGCACTTGCTCACACTGGATTACTCCTGCTTCTAGAAACCACCTCCCAAATAAAATCTAATACTCAAGTTCTTATCTTAGGCTCTGATTCTGTTGGGACTCAAATCATATCAACAATTTAAGAAAGAAAAAGGCAAGACATAAAACAGACGTTACAGAAAAGCTGAAGAGACTCAGTGTCGATGAGGGAGACGTAAGTAAAAACCACGCTCGGACATCATTTTTCCCTATCAGAATAACAAGAATCCAAAGGTTCCCAGAATAAACTCTGTTAGCATCTTCGCAAATACAAACTGCCATGATACACTGGTCCCACCTCCCTGAGGATCAATGGAAATTATGTATGAGTACATATTTAGCCCAGCAACTTTGGGACAATGTTATGTAAATAAATAATATTATGTTAGCCAGGCAGTGGTGGCACACACCTTTAATACCAGCACTAGAGAGGCAGAGGCAGGTGGATCTCTGTGAGTTTAAGGCCAGCCTGATCTACAAAGTGAGTTCAGTCCCAGGACAGCCAGGGGTACATAGAGAAACTCTGTCTCAAGAAAACCAAAAAGGAAGAAAGAAAGAAACAAAAAGATGAGTTTATGTTACTCATTGCTGAATTATTTGGAAATATGTGAACACCCTCTGGTACTGGGTCAGGCTGAAGAATCATACTCTGAGGGCACGAGAACATACTTCACCACCACAAACCAGGGAGAAACCACCACCACATGTCTTTTGTTTTGTTTTAAAGAAAGAAAGAAAAACAAGCTGAGTGTGATGGGAA